ACTCTAGACGTGGCGATCGACGGGTCGATCGCGATCGAAGTGATATATGGTATCTCACTGCAAAGTAATAGTACTTCATTAAAATTATTGATTCCGCTGACTTATTAGCAATATTTTTTCTATCATTCCACCACTGAGGCCTAGTACAATCTGTTGACTAACATTAACGAAAAAGTGAACCCATGCGTTGAATTTCAGAAGATTTCAAAACTGGCCATTCAATATCGCATGGTCTGATGACATCCACGTTATTTGTGGCATAAACTGTAATTTTTTGAATTATGTTATCCCGACGATAGGCCTATTTTAAAACAACTGTTTTATTTCTGTAATCTTTTTCATCCCAACGCCAAAATGGTCATAATATGACCAAGTTTTGTTTTGCGCATGAGTTGTGCTCGTAAAGCTCATAATATTAGGTTTCACGATCGTGAGGTGGATACGTTTCTTATTGTTACTCAACTTATGACCACTGGGATAATACTGAGGTGACAATAAAATATTATATGCTGAATGCTAAGAAATTTTCTACATGAATGTTTTACATAAATAATTGATATAACCAGTGAATGTAATACAGCGCAAGTTAAGTAATTTTTGTCTTATTATGTCAAAAAATCGATTCTAAATTACTTTGGTAATATGTATCAGATTTTAATGAGAATTAATAAATAAAACACTGAGGTTCATCTTCTCACATTACCACAACAAAAATACTCTGCTTGCATTTAAACCTTTGTACTCGGCTAGTTGCGACCCTTGAATGGTCTACCATTGTGTATATTCATGTCCAAAACACATATATATATTTACGATATTGTTAATGTTTAATCCGTACTTCGAGTCGCGCACCAAGCCCATCATAATACCAGTGGCGTATCTACGTAAAATGGCGCCCATGGCAAAGTCTAAAAATACGCCCCTTGATAGTTGTTTGTGACAATTTATAATGACTATAATTGAATTGATATACTTGTACGCAGGGGCGGATTATGACCCTCTGGTGCCCTAAGCACATATGACTTTGGTGATCCCTTATGTGTAATTTAACCACATAAGTGTATTATCCATTGAAAATAATCACAACCAACAGTAAATAAAACAATTATTACGAACATTTTTAACTGTTATATATAGCCGATATATATATCGACAAACACGCAATATCAGGCCGATATATCGGTTGAGCTATAATCCTGAGGAAGTGTGACAATAAAGATTCATGCCTCCAGTCTTAACGTGAATCGAAATACCAAAATATACAAGTCACAACTGTAGTTTGAAATTTTACCGGTACCTAGTAGTCTACTTCAGGGTGGTTCGAGGTTGCTAGGTTGAAGGACCGCAAAAACTTTTGAAGTCTCGCGGGCCGCAATTCGGAGAAAACCCAAAAGTGATAGAAATATCGCGAGTTCACTTACTTTAATTTTAATAAACAACGAGAGTTTACAGTTCTAATCAGACTATTATTATGTTGCATGGGTGGCGTTCTTTTAAGGAAATATATAAAGCCTTCAGTTTTTTTAAAGTTGATCCCCGAGAATTACCGTTGTATTTTCCGCATCTCGCGTTTAATGTCACTTCAAATTATATTTTTTCGTGACAGATATTACTTGAAATCAAATCAGACACAATGCTTCCGAAAACCAATACCTGACTAACTAATCCCATACTTACGACTTTCTCATTACGATTTTTTGCGACCTTCTATATAGTCTGTTTCGCTAAATATTTATGGTTTAAATAAATTGTATGAATCCTAAGTATCTGTCGTGGTTTAACATTCATGCTATCTTTGGGTGGATATAGTACGTTTTCAAGCTTTCAGGGTGGTTAGTCCTCCCATTGATTTAGGTGGAATTATATCGGTACAGCTACGGTTGGATTTAATGTTTATTAGTTTAGGGTGGGGTTTGTTTGGGTGAAAATATTAATAGCCTACTCAACAGGTGGAAGAAATAGAATAGAAACTCTTGTGAACCAAATATTTTGGTGGGAATTCACACCTTTTCCATTAAAAGTGTAGGAAAATTGGTTCGATATTAATTTATTTGATAAGAAATTAGTTATCTGTACGCGACGTATACATAGCATATACCCGATGTACCAAAAAAACAATAAACATTAGGATAATCAAAGAAGTTGTTCTGAAATTTGACTCAGAGAACTGAAAAGCTTCATCTGGCACAAATAGTTAAATTATTATAATTTTATGCTTTAACGTCACAATAACTTCTAATACACAACAAATAAATTTTCCAATTTTTTTTACATCAGACAATGTGGAATTATTGTACAATAAAACATACTAAACTCAAACATCTGTTTTACTGTCTGGGTAAAACAACAATTTATTGCTATATTTTCAACTATGTGAATTCTAGATTATTCAATTAATCCCTTTTCTTCGACGATCAAGATAGTTTGATCCAAAACAGAATGTAGAATAATACATACCATACAAAAGTTATTTTTATTGCTACCTAATACATTTTAGCAACATAATATTCAACTCATGATATACTTATTGGCTATACATGTATCATTGCAAATTCAAATTGCAAGTAGAATTCAATTTTCGACTCTTGCCTGCGAACTGTGTGATCTATGAACTTGAATTAAACTAAAGATATACGGCACTGCAACATAATATCACTTCATTTAAATTATTAATTAATATTAATTCCGCTGACTTATTAGCAATAACTTTTATCATTCCATCACTGAGACCTAGAACAATCTGTTGACTAACTTTGACTGAAAAGTGAACCCATGCGTTGAAATTCAGAAGATATTAAAACTGGCCATTTAATATCGCATGGTCCGATGAACATCCACGTTATTTGTGGCATCACCTGATAATATTAGGTTTTACGATCGTGGGGTGGATACGATTCTTATTGTTACCCATCTTATGACCACTGCGTGGGATAATACTGAACGTGGTAATAAAATATTATATCCTGAATGCCATGATTTTTCTACAAGAATGTATTACTTAATATTTAATATAACCACTAAATGTAATACAGCGCAAGTTAAGTAATTTGTGTATTATTATGTCAAAAAATCAGTTCTAAATTACCTTGGTAATATGTATTAAATTTTGCTGAGAGTTATAAAAAAAACAAAAAACACTGAGGGTCATTTTCTCACTTTGCCACAATATAAATCCTTTGCACCTATTCAAACCTTCGTACTCGGCTAGTTGCGACTCTTGAATGGTCTACCATTGTGTATATTAATGTCCAAAACACATATTTACGATATAGTTAATGTTTAAACCCCATTTTGAGTCGCGCACCAAGCTCATCGTAATATTTTTTATCGTGAACCAAATGATATATTTTGAAATGTAGTGTAAAAATTGATCATTGAACGAATGCTTGTCATTAGGCAAAGCAAATCTGTCACAAAACTTCTTGTTTTATACATTTTGTTTGCCGTATTATTATTATTTGTCATTATATTACTTATGTGGGTGGGCTAAATACAATATATTTTAAATTATTAAAATTGCAGTATCAGGTATTATTTTGTATATGGGTGAAATGTTCGTTAGATGGTGCCATGACTCTACTACTAACCAACACAGAAGACAACTTCGAACACAAACTAAAGAACTGTTGTGAACAGACCGTTTCATTTATTACGCAAATGGACCGACCGTTTCATCTTCCAAGGCGACAAATCCTGTACAAATCTATGGCTATTAAACGACTGACTGCCAATTATGCGCCAGAAAACTGCTTCTGCTTAGCTTAGACCAGGGGTGGGCAACCTCTTTCGGTTCGCGTGCCAAAATCAGCTTAATTGACAAAATTCTTCCGCGTGCCGACCAAAATTTTCAATAACTCACTCAGTTGTTACGTCATAATATATTTCTTTGTAACCATGAATGGACAGAATGAGATTAAATAAATAAAGGATTGTTAACAAACAATAATGAATAAACAATGTGTTTCATCAGATAATTCTGAAGTTCAAAACTTTTTATCCGAAGGAAAATGATCTCGTTTTCGAGGCCTCGCTCAGGTGCCGGCCGAATAAATGGGCCTAATTTGGCAAACGTGCAGACTATACACGCGAGTGCAATTTACGTACCCGTAGTTGGACGTAATAGTTGATTCCGATATCGAAGTAGTATCATTATCCGTGAGCCACGAGTATTTGTATTCGAATTGATTTTCCAATGATGCTGCAATAGATGTGTGTCGACTTGAGAGAATAAAGTAGATGTTTTATTGACGTTCGCCAAACAAAAATGCTGTTACTTCGTGTAAGAAATCGGCTTGCGTATAATATTCTCAGCAAAATTGTATTTGGTATAATATCAATGTTATTTACTGCGTAGCTTGCTTTGTCGATAAACGCATTTGATAATCCAATAATAAGAAATCGTCCTGGTAATTTTGAATTTCTTAGAGGCGGATATATACTTACACTGGCGTTAAACTTGAAGAGTTGAGGTAGCCTTTTCCGATCGTAGGAGGTCCTGGTTCAGATACCTCGTTTTGTGTCGACATTCTACTACGTTCTGGATTTCTCGACTGCCTATTAAATTGACACATAGCCTGAGACTGATGTTTGGTTGTGTTCTTGATTCCTAAAATGTTGATGCACTTGATCACAGAGTAGTTGCTTTCCCATTTTGATTAACGGAATGATTTTGAATCGATTTAAATAACAATAATATTGAAATACACACTTAACCCTTAAAGTTATACGATCAAATCCAAACGTATTAAATCACAAGGACATAGAAAGCACCCGAATGAAGGCCGGAAACACACGTCACCATACTCGTCGATACAAATAACGCTACGCACAATAAGCTAAGGCTTGTAGGTTGTAGCTGTCTCGATAAATCATAATCAGCGGAAAACCTAAAATGACCTATTTCATTGAATTCAACATACTATTAATATGGAACGGGTATAGATACCGTTAAAATCCAGAGTTACAATCCACAATCGCCACAGAGACATCAGAACATATTACACAGTTTGTGTTCTATATACCCCGGAGTTTGGTCTACGTTGGTGCTATTCTTATGCATGAATTTTAATTTTGATTTCAATGGTAAGTTAAAATATTGCTTTTATGTCTTTTGAGTCATAACTAAAACTCGGTTACTTGAAAATACAGTGATTCGCTCCTTATCAAAACAGAACGAATATTGAATAGAAGTTGGATATCGGATTATCTGATTGCTCTATTGTCAAAACCACGTCAGTTTGAACAAAAAGAAATTCTATTTCTGAAAGTCTGTAAATACAATCATTTACCGATTCCGCCATCAATGATTTTTTAACTTGACTTCGGTTGGTGCTTATAAAATATTAAATCAGTTTACAGGATAAGGCTGCGTCTATTTATTTAGATAATGTATTTGCCGCCATTGAATGAATTGTTTCGATCGAAATGAAGGAGAATTAAGCATATGTTTTTATCAAATGAATATAAGCGTGCTAATCTGTTGCATTTTATGTTTTTACTATTCAGATAAGCATCAGTGAGTTCTTGCATGTTTCTACAATAAATCTAAAATGAATTATCACAGGCTGTTGCTAATTTCAGTTTTCTACTTCGGATATTTTTCTCCTTCTATTTCGGAAATTACAAAGAGTAAGTGCTGTATTTCTAAATGCTTATCCGTTGATCATATTAAGTGGTCGGTTTACCAGCAACGCTAAGGTGTTGGCTTTTCTTTACTCGCATATTTTATTCAAGCAATTGTAAAAATCTGGGTACACTTGAATTAAAAAAATTTTCCGAACTTTAACTTTATATTTCGCCCATTTAGTGAGATTTTGGCGTGTTCAAGGGGATTAACATTCAATTTTTAGATTACTGGCTTTAATGTGCTTTTGAGACGCCGACTGTAAAGATTCTGAATTCGATTTCAGTAAGAATTTGAAGGAATACAATGCAATCTGTACAGTAAAATATATTTGAAGCATGTCCTATATTTAAATGAGATCACAGTTTGCACAGGAAGCAGTTAGGTATTGTATGAAGAAATTGGACAAATGTACCTCGATTAAAATTGACCAGAAAAAATTAACAAATAAACTATTATTACAAAACTAAAATAAATAAAATATTATATTGCAGCAATACTCATAAACGGAGGAGGATGTGGAGTGGCAACAAAAGTACCTGGTGGAATTGTTGTGTCTCATGATCCGATAGCGCTCGATATTCCTATATCAAATACTTTTAACTGCTTATTTACTATTCAATCGTTTCGACCAAGGCAGACCGTGCGACTAGTATTTGAGTAAGTAGGGGTAACTAGTAGTAAATAATACGTGTTATCTTTATCACTGTTAATAATCGACTTATCAGAGGTTTGTAGCTTTGCTATTTGAAGTGATAAAATTATTTTTTTTAAACTCGTTTCATGTTTCACCCGATTATTCGCACTTAAAGAGTTATGACGTCAATAAGACTCCGGAATTTGTTCCAGATAGAAGTCACCAATGGTTTCTGAAAATAGAAACTCATGCTGTAATCTATATTACCTTCAAACTATAAATCATTTTATACATTGAGCTCAATTTAAGCAGAATAACCCTGCTGGTGTTTTTGGGCAAGATATTTATTCAGTATTTAAAAAACTGTTCATCCTCAAAAAAGAATAGTCCGGCATAACAATCTATTTTGTTTGCAGATTCTGGATCTCAATTTAAATTACAGAAGAGTTAAGCCATATGCTAACATTATTCACTGAGATTGTGTTAAAAGAATAAAATTAAAATATGATATTATTATTATATTCAGCCATCTCAGCCTTTCACCGAATGACTGCGCGCAAGCCAACATCGAGATATATAATGATAAATTTGCAAATGATTCATCCAAACTTCTGAGTCCGACTTTATGTCCAGGTGAGATTTTTAAAAACGTTAAAGGTCTAATTCATTTTATAAATGAATTTATATAAGTAGAAAAAGGGATCAAACAACAAAGTTAAAATGTTGCTTGTTTACACAAAAAGTACAAAATAAGTTATGACTGATCACAGCGTCCTGACAATCACAGCGTCCTGTGTACTTATTTTATACCTTGAGCTAGTTTTATTGCGGGTTGCATTTAGTGGAACACTCTACTTGTGAATGCGTGATGAAAGCAAGTTCTTGAATAAGTTTTAGTAGCCTTCTACGTCACCAAAAGCCATTTCCGAACTGCGGTTAATTTTTGTTAGTGCGTTTTTTAATAATTCATAAGTAGAAAACTAAGTCGACTTTATGTAAATAGTAAACGTCAAAAATTCCGAAGAAATATATAGAATCAAATTCATCAAAAAAATTTTCCGTAATAACCCACCTTTAATATCTTGTATTTGCGCGATCATTGCTTTTATCTAAAAATGAAGTTATATAATTTACTTTCGATTGTTGGATTCGGATTCAAGTCGTATCATTTTGTTTTCACTATCTGGCGTCTTACGTTATGTACCTTTGCCTCCATAAAGTTTGGTAATAACATACCTAGTTCAAAATCCAAGATTATATCTAAAAAAACAACGTAGCTTAATGTACAATTATCTATATCACAAATCCTTTAAATAAAAACGAGTTCGGATACTCTAGTGAAGTTAAAACGATTCATCGCTTTTATTATAAAAATATTGGTTGCTCCTGAAGTTTGCGCACCAAGATGTCGCATAACCTGAACCATAACCTGGTACACAATGTGAGTTCAGGTTGTGCGCCATCTTGGTCAATATTGTCGCCCGTAGGCTATATATACTCTTGCAATGTATTCAAGTTTGCGATTTGCGCAGTCATGAAACGTGCTCAAACATGATTTCTGCTTCGGAATATAAACTCCTATACAACTGTAAGCATACTTGTTTATTGACAACAGCGACACAACTTGGTAATACAACTCAAAATATGGGCAATAAACAAACGCCTGCAAGGTAACGAGACCGTACAACAGTGGTTCTCAACCTGTGGTTCGCGTACCACTAGTGGTACGCGGAAGATAATCAAGTGGTGCGCGAGCAGCTTTAACATATTGCAACAAATAACATTTGAGTTGGCAAAAATATGCCGACAACGCTTTAACTTTCATACTGTATGTATTCGCTGAACGACCTTAATGTTTCTCCGGGCATCAATTTCCTTGTTTACTTCCGTAAACAGCATCACTGTGAAAAATTTTGTAATTTTACAGCCAATTCTTTGTAAAAAATACGACCGTTTGGCAGTATTTCGAACGAGCAACTATTTATAGGTATTTTTACATCATAGTGTTGTAATTTCACCGCTTGTACGATGTAAAATTGCATATACTGTTGCATAATCATAAAACAAACATACGGTTGTTAAATATACAATGAATTATACGTAACATACAAAAACGTCTGTACTGAAAACAACTATCTCGCGGTTATGTTAAAATAAGTCCACTTGGTAGTAATCAAAAGCATAGAGTTCAGAAGACAGTCTTCCACATATTATCAGCAAATTGCATGCCAATGAAAAATACATTGGTGCTACGAATTTGGTCCCAAACTGATACGAATTAGGCTTGGCGTCATAAGGCGCAAGTCATACAATGATACGTAAACCTGCGGTTTCGTATGTCATCGCGACAAAGAATTTATAGCTTACGATAAAAAAATCTTAATATTGCACTCAATATTATATCGAGTATAAGGATATTTTATTTTAGACATCATGTAAATTGGTGATTAAACTGACAGCACTCATTCTCAAACGGACAGGTCTACTTGCAGTCACGACTCCAACTACTGGTGAATCTAGTAGTTCTACGCTGTGCCGCTATATCTTCTATCGGACCAAAGATTATGCAAATGTTTCGGTTAATATAATTTTGAATTGAGTGGCATATTTTTTTAATTTAACTATTTGCTCAATGCTCCTAATAAGTTCTAGAAATATCTTAGGTCGCAACGAATTCGAATTTTGAATTTTCTGACTCCGCCAAAGCCTGACGTACTTTCCCGCCAAAATGGCTGTTTAGTGCGGATTCCAGTTTCGCTAGAAAGCAGCTTGGCTTGGTTTGATTCTCAAATCAATTGAAGTAGCCTAGTTTGAAAGTGTGAACTTGTATATTTTACACTATGGTGCCTGAACAGAAAGTTTGGAGAAAGAAATACTGTTACCTAGGTTGTAAACTCTGAACTACGGGTGCTGTAGACTACCGGTAGATCTTCAGGTTTTGCAAGGTGAGTTAATTTATGCCACATCTGTCATTAATAATCAATTTTGCATTAATTGGATTGGCCTGTTAACTACAGCATTGCCGTACTAGATATCCCATCTCTGCATTTAAACAATGAGCTATTGTAGGCCTACCGTAGACTACCATATTCTGTTACTACTTATCGATTTTAATCAGTAAGTATGTTGATAGGTATTTGTCTGTGTGTATGTCTGTTAGATGCACGCGATATCTCACGAAAGCGAAATTGAATCTGCTCCAGATTTTGCATATGCATTCATCTTATCTCGGACCAAAAGCCTATTCATTTTAAGAGAATTATGTCGTATAATTATCGAGTTATTAATTAATTGGTGATGGGACACAAGGCGTCACTATGGAGTAAGAGCGCTGTTTTGGTGATCCCCTAACTTTCGATCGATAAGTCTTCGGTCTCTGACCGATATTCTTGTTTTACTTTTAGTTGCTTATGTTCAATCTTTGTTACCGCTATTCTATTTATTGGAGTTTTGAGCCGAGGTAGTCTACTACACCAATGCTGAAAGGTCTCTGATTTTTCGTATTTTCCAAAAGTAAAATTTCAGACAATTCCGATAATGTTAGCATAATCCTTAAAAAGCAAAAAAGATTTACAATAGCCTACTAGCAGACTGGTAAAATTGTAATTTCAGTTACCCTGCGATTTGAAATGACTGATTCGAGATTTGGACTAATCTAAAATAAAATGCATCTGGAAAGACATCTCTAGTGAAACTGCAAGATTAGCTACTGCAGTAGACAGTCATGAACTTTTTATGCCTATATCATTTTCATACATCTTCAATCAGCTGATTCTTTTTAGTTCGGAAGTGGAAAAACATATTCTGCCATTTTACCCCTGGGGCATTCTCATTTGGCCCTTATCAAGTCTGTCATTGTATCAACACTACAAACGAATTTCTGGAAAGGTGAGGAACTGGTAGCCTATTGGTGTTTATTTTTTCGATGGCAATGGTAGGGATTTGAATGTTTAATAAATCAAAGCCTTGCTTATAAATATGAGCATCATATTACTGTATGGACCTTTCCCCGAGCATCGACTTCCTTGTTTACTTCTTTACATTGGCCAATCAGCAAAATGCAAAAAGTTAGGTAACAATGCCCTCTTTTCGCATCCGCTCAGACACTTTTCTCACTCAGACAGATTTTCAAGCGTGATTGTAAACATTACCTCGTTTTCGAGTTTTTGAACTCTATTGGTTAGTTTTTAGTTGTATTTCGGAAACTTGAATATTAATCAGATATTTCAATGATCACTTTGTCTTTCTAGGAGTTCTAATTTAACTGCAGTGTTAAAAAATAAGTGTGGAAATAGCTGTGAAAATTCTTTACCGGTACTTTTAAAAAACAGATTGTTGTATGCGATGAATCATGATGATGGTTTGGAACACATTCCCCATTTTACAGGCGCCGATTCGCAAAAGCACTCTTAAAATAGCCCCGAAAATTTTGCAATGGTAAAGTATAGGTAGAATTTTTCGGGGGTCAAAGGTCGGGGAAAGGTCCATATAGTGGGCCTCCTTGCACTAAGTTGATTTTTGTGCAATAAATGGGTAAATAAGTTCAAACATAGCTTTTTGTCTTTTTATATAACAATTTTCATTGCTTGGAGAGATAATGTTATAATTGCGAGCTTCAGAAAGGATCTATAATAAATTTAACTTCTTCTGAGCATTGAATATAATATGAATCTACCACATCTATCACTGCTAATGGAATCATTTTACCCCAGCAGATCAAGTTATAACATATGTAAATATGTTGACTTCTCACTCAACTACTTGTTTGCATTTTATACCGGCTATGCCATTTTTTTCAGCCATATTGCCAAGATAAATAGCCAGTGAAATCAAAAAGTGCAAGAAAAAGTGACAGCAATGTTGAATATATTGGATGGTTTTCACCTATATGAAGAGATGAAATGAACTATTTTCCTGGCGGAAACAATCACTTCTCGAGTGTATTTGATACTATTGCGTTGCTGATATTTGACCACATATTTTATTAAAAGTGATTTCTTTTCAATTGTATTTCATTTCTTCAGGTGGTGGCATCAGGGTTGATCGAGTTACTTTGCGGATGTTGTTTAGTTTTACAACTTCTTCTTGTAGTTAAGGTTAGCAGCGCTATGGCTGTAAAAATCGGAGACATCCAACCCACTGCTTTTGCCTAGTTACCTAGTACATACATTTGGTTGTAAAATTACAACCGCTTGCAACGATCCAATACGTATATGGTGTTTACAGGTGCATGAAATCGCTGCTGCCGCGCGTTGGGTTGTAAAGCGCCCTTGGTCGCTACACGAGTAAGAACTTAAGTAAATGACGTTACGAGCATGCGGGGGAAAGTGTTTTTCGTGTGCGGAACGTAAACGTGCTACGTGCCAACGTAATTGCTTAACGTCGCTGCGTAACGGCGTAAATGTGTTAGGTAGTTATTTACGTCGCCTCGATCTCGCGACAAACGAAATCACGAATAAAAATGCATCCAAAATTTGAATGGTGCAACATAATTTCAATCTAATGGTATCACTGGAAAGCTATCTTCAACTTCTACAAATGTTGTCGATAATGTAGTAGGTTAAATCGAAAACAAATTGAAGTTTTTTCAATTAGATTTAGAAGTTTTTTTTCCACTTCAATTTTGCCAATTTTCATAAGATGATCACAATATTTTATCTCAATTTTAAAGTTATACTTAGTCCTGTAGATTATCTTTCACACGATGTAAAACTTGTCTAAATATAATATATGGTTCGCGAGATATGAGGGTTTCAAAGTTGCATACCTCATACGGGATGCCAAAGCCACTAAAACGGCTCTCAGCGTCAGAAGACTTTCTCGGGAAAGCCGCTATAGCGGCTTTCAGGGTTCAAGGAGTTAATGTTTTTTTACAGTGCCCAACAAACAGTAAATATTGTTTCTTTTTCGTAGTTTTTCGTGTTATTTGTCAGTTTTCAGTTGCGTTTCAAAAAAAATTTGTGAATTAAATATCTTAATTGTCATTATGTCTTCAAAGCAGCATTAATTCAATTGCTATAATCAAAAATGAGTCTCGCAAATGCTGCGATAGACTAAGCTAAACTAAGCTATCAGTGCTTGTACGCGGCACATGGTTGATTAATTTTAATAAAAATGAGGGTTTTTAAACACGTAAACCAGCTTATAAGCGCCAACAAATCAAAACAATCTCGAAATAAGTATAAATTGTTTTGCAATAGTAAAGTATAGGAAGAATTTATCTGAGGTCAAGGGTCGGACAAACGTCTTTCCGGCCAGTCCAATCTTTAGAGATCGCCCTCGCCTGCTATTGTCCACGAAGGAATCGAGATGGTCATGTTTTCGTCCGCCTTGCGAATTAGGTCACTAAGGATGTAGTGCCACATTATAAAATACTCCCATAGCGCGTGTCTTGTGCCATGCCAAAAAGGGGGGCTTGTGAGCCAGACGAATAGAAGATGAGCCACAACAATTGAGAGTGGTCAGGCTGCTTACGAATTCAGTAATCACTATACGTCACCTCCTTCCGTCAAACTCGCAATACGTCACATCCTTCCGTCAAACAAGGCAAATAACCGTCTTCGTCAGGTTTTCGAAATGTGCGTGAACTTTGGTTATATGTAGGATAGCTAGTAACATATTGAAAATCATAATCTTTAGCAAATTTTCAAAATTCCTCGCTATCATATTGAGGAACGTTGTCAGAAATAAATTTTTCTGGTAACTTGGAGTAAGAATTCAACGTCACCAAGTACTTTCTGCAGGCTATTCAAACAATATGGGCGCAATAATTTCCGATTGTCGAGAAGGAATCTCATAGATGATTATCTATTTATTTGTAGATTGGGTTGAAATACTTGACACGTGGTACATGTCGAGACATAATCCTGTATAGGCATTTTTGGTCAAAACAAAAATAAATTTCTTGTTCTAACGAATACAAGCCTGTATTCCAATGTGACTTGCCTGTATGCGCTGCATATCATATTTTTTGGCAGATTCTGGTGCCACAATTCGACATCCTTTCACCCATTTTGAATAGATGGGTCTTTTTAAAAAGTAAAATATTCTTGCACGGACTGTGGAAGGTGTTTCTTAGTAGCCTAATTAAGGCTCCGAGAGTTTGCAACGTGAAATCTTTCTTTGTAGATATTTGTAAAAAATCATGCATTATTTTGCCAACACTGCAATCTTCCAACATGTCAATTTTCGGATTTGTCCCATCCTTACTACCTGCTACCTGACTGATTTTTACAAAAACTATAAATTTAATAGAAAACTCCTGCTATTTTTGTTTTACAAAAGTCAAACCAATTTATTTATGTGTTTTGAAGAAGATTCATACTTTTTATTGATATAATGCTTCTAAAAATGCTACAACATTGTGCTCTCAAAATCATGCATTATAATCTAAGTATCCATGTACAATATTCAGGAACCAGTATTTCGTCGTTAGAATACTTGAGCACCGGAAACTGGATGACATTGAAGATTCAAGCAAATGTTGTGGGGACTGGAATACCAAAAGTCAATTTTTCCGCCAGTTATTCGGCCTTTACAGCAAGTGGGTTTCTGAAGTCTAAGATATTTTCTAGAACAGAATGTCATCACAAATCTAAAGAATTAATATCGAATAAAATGTCAACTAATATCAATATCGAATGAAATTTGTCTCAAAATTCATACCAAATCAATCAAACACTCAAAAACGTGTATTTTTGGTAGCGAAAGTGTTTCATAAACAAAAATCGAAATGTTCTTGATAATCCACTAGGTGACAAATCTTTCAAGGTATTCGCTGACTCATTACGATATTGAGCGATGAAATGACAGCAACGTTTAAGTTAGGGTCATTTTATATATATTCCTTTGATATGCCATAGTATCTTAACTTTAGCAAAGAGTATCGATGCTTCCCACTGGCCAAGTTCTCAGTGCGGTGCGTGTGATTGAATTTCTTAATTATTTCATACATGTGCCATGTAGAACCTTGTAAGTTTTCTGCTCAAGAAACAAACTGTAGTACATTAAATCGGTGTATCTATAATGAATTGCTGTGTGACGGAGTCGATGGATGTGGAGATAACACGGACGAAAGTACAGACCCACCAGCAAATTGCAATGCAACTACAACTGTGTCAACGCCCAATACAGGTTCAAATTTTATACACAAATACGTTGAACTCTGTAACGTTTGTTGTTGAAGGATGATGTTTTTACCCTGCTCTTATTCAGAATCCTCTACATGTGTATGCCATCACAATACCAATTGGCGGTTGATTATTTGGGGTTAGGAATTCTTTGAGTGTAAAGATATTAACACCTGTTTTATTTATGTCGTTTTGAAATAGACCTTTTATTGATTCAGATATAAAACGCTGGAACAATTTGGAATCTTATCCTCACATTTTAACATTACATAGTAACAGGTTGATATATATCTAATGCACAGTGGTAGTACCACAAGGCTAATAATCATCAATGCTAATAATTTGTCCCAATTTTTAAGAAAACCAATATGCTATGGTGTATTGAGTTTGCCGAAAATTTCAAAAAGCCAAAGTTGTAAACTATTTGATGAGAATTTTTGAAAATTTGAATCTATTTCAATGGAAATATTATAATTATACAGGTGCTACGAATCCTGCTCCTGGACCAGTAGATAGTGCAACTGAAACAACAGCTACAATCAGTACAGTGACGTCCATCAACAACGTCACCAGATACCGTTTTTTCCAGATCTTACCCCACTGGTTGCAATTTTGGTAATCGCAGGAGTATGTTTGTCTGTATACGTGTTCTACATATTAATGTCGTTCTCCTGGTTCAATAGTCTCATATATGCTTGTCTCAGATCATGTCTTCAATACGCCTTGCGTCGGCACAGAGATTACAAACGAAAGAAAAAGGTTAGTAAAGTATAATAATTATCAAAATAATAAGTTATACACTCACTTGTTGTTTAAATTTTAATATTCAGAGTATTTGAAAGGTATTAGCTCAAAGTAACGGCGGGATGAATCATGTCACATAACCATGGACCAAAGTGATTTAAAAGCATTGTAATAAAGCGTTTATCCCCTTATTCTCCTTTCATACTCCGGCTAAAAAACAATATACCACAAACTGGTTATTGTTGATTGAGAAGTTATTATAAATTAATGAATTTGCTCTTGCAAAAAAATTTTGAAGAAAAAACGAATATTGTCATTTAAGGTAAAATTAATAAAAACGCGAACTTATGTTCTAATCAATAGGTAAATTTCGGGTGCGCTCCAGAAGTACGAGTATGTGCACCAATATGGAGGTAACTAATTTTGTTCGCCTATTTTACATCGAGTTGTGTAAAGAGTTTGAAACCTGTGGGCAGGGAAAATTCACTTGGCTAACACAGCCAGACCCCGAACTCGTAACAGAACTAAAATAGGGAAAATCGGAATCAAATTATGGCCTAACCCCAACTTGGTACACATACTTCGGGAGTGCCAAATTTTGTATTCAGTTTTTCAGCATTATTTCAGAGCTTAATTTTCAACATCATTAATAAATATTTTAATTTTCAGTTACCAAAAGCTGGAAATTTATCAAAAATATATCCAGAGTCAGTTGCAGAAACAAAGTGAAGACATCATATACCATGGAAACAATTTCGAATATTTCTTTTCAATAGTGTTTATGGTTGAATGTGATTACCATGAGCGATTTTAATTTTTGTGCCAAAATTAAATGGAATTTGTTTATCTATGTTTGTTATTTCAGTTATAGTTTGTCATCTTGCGCATGAAAGAATCATTGTAATCCTAGAATTTTTTTAAATTAAACCTGTATTGTTTATTGCTAGCGTTTGCTTTCTGTTCTTTCAAAAGTTTTTCTTTTTCAAGCTGTAAGATGTTGAAAATAAACTGCTTTGTGTTGCAAAAATTGTTTGTGGATAGCTCATCAAAACTTTGTATTGCATACTAGATCAGTGCTTTATTAAATTCTTCCAATGCTTTTAATCCACATTTTTACTAATCGTGTTTCTGATTTGCCCACCAATGGCTTAAAAACCATGGAGAAGAGTAAAAGGGATTTAAACAGTAACCTGAATTTGAAAAGTCAAAAAATTAATTTTAATTTTGATATGCCTCTATCTAAAGCAAGCGTAACCAATGGGCAAATTAATTAGCACGGCGGCCATTAATGGGTATTGATTAGAAACTAGTGGATTTTTTAAAAAATGCCCCTTCCCCCCAATTTTTAACATTTTTTAAATGCAAGTTTGCAGTATTTGCGGTAAGACATAATTTCATACGCCTTTTCTAAAACCCCATTCTCTCTATTTATGAACGATTCACTGAAGCCCGGACGTTTTCTGACTTGCTATCAATAAATCCTTTAACCAAATGAACCAACGAGACAGGTGAAAATGCGCGCTATATGCCCTGGGGTAACTTCAACAGAGAAGTACTTCTGTACAGCGATTCTTCAATTAGGGATATTGTTAGATACCAGTGGCTACTTTTCTGAGGCCGTGTTACGTCATTGTAAAAAAAAATTGCCTCCCCCCCTCTCCCAATTTGGGCTGGCCACGCTCTCGTTCAGCGTAGTTCATGACGTGCTATCTTACTATACCGCCAATGTAAATCAATCTAATCTTATTCAATGAAGTGACGTCTTAAACCAACTTCTAAATCATCTACAAAATATCGTACCATACACAAAACATTGTTTAGTTTTTTCGAAGCTATAAAAAGACACTCGTTCAACTGCTTACGCACGTGAAATGATATTCTTTTGATAGTATTTAAAGTGTTATTATGAAAATATGTGATAAATCGTTTTCCGAAATCTTTGTACTAATTCAAAATCTTGAATTCAACACACGCTTGTTCATCGTTTGAAAATTGTTAAAATGAGTTTAACCGAACCAGATTTTGAATTACCAATAAGAGACGCACATTGTATCTGGGATTTCTAAATGACCGGCTTGATCGAGTGTACTTCTAGATAATCTGTTATGAGTTTAGCATCGGGATACGGTAACGACAAGACAATTTTATGCTTTTGTTTGGCGACGATTAAATCGACAAGTTTTTGGATGTTTTTATAGCGCTACATAGCAACTTTTATTTGAGCTATTGATTGCCACAATTCTATCTATCGCGTCAATAATTGAAATTTATTGCAAAAATCGCGAACATTAAATATCGCGAATCTGGAATGTTGTAACAAACCGTTTTCAAGTAGGCTGGATAATGTCACAACTTCAGAAATAGATGTTTTTGCCAGTTACAAGTTACTCGTAGGATCAGTAAGGCAACTAAATAATTAAGTTGAAGGTTATGAAGTAAAACTGTCGTACAGCAATCCAATTCAAATATTGTTGTATAGGCCTATATTTCGATACCGATAGTTCGATTGATTGTTAAAAACAATCAAAATAATTATAAAGTAAATTTACCAGGCGAAGATGTAAACGAAAATGTACAGATTCCTATTTTTCTAACAACAGTATAAATGTTTTGTAGGTAGAAATTAACCAACAGTTGTACTTAAAAAGAAAGGTTTTTATTAATGTCTCTGGCATAAAAACTCAGAGATTTGTTTGTCTTATATTCGAAAACAATTTTGTTCATAATACCAGTGAAAAGGCAACATGGCGAGTTCTTCGTGGAATGCAGGAACTACAATTGCTATTATCTTCTTCATTTTGCATCGAAATTTCGTCCTAGCAATTCCAACAGGTATGTTTAAACTTTGATTACAATGCCGAAGTATGCAAAAATAAAACGGATAGATCTTTTATTCTTTAGATAATTGTGACACCGTCCATTTCTGGCTTGTATTTCTGAAAACTTATCTTCACATTACTTATCCCCATCAAGATGAACTAAACCAAACGTAACTGACTGTAATATGACATGGTCCCATTTGAACTTTTTACCATCTAACTTTAATACATATATCACCTTTATTTCTTTTAATAACTCCTAATTAGGAAAAGAGGACAATTTTATGGAAGAATGCTGTCATTCGTCAATCATAAATTGTGGCAATCTATAGAGCTGTAGAAAGATAATCTATAGAGAGATTAAGACATTTCAATCTTATTCAGTCACTTTACTTCCAAGTGGATGTGCGGTAGCTTGGGTGCAAATCCAGGACAAATTATTCTATCAGGAGGCGGTCTTAACTTACACGGATCCTGTGAATTGTTCGCTCACAATGAAGCTACATTCTTCTGCTCACCGAATTAGATTTGCTTTTAACACTGGTATGTGTAATTTGTATTTCAACTATATTCTAAGTGCTATAAGACACAAACAATAGAAAAAAGACGAGTTTGCATTCAAAAATCTACAATAATCTTAGGATTAATTTCATTTTTGTAGTTATGCTATATCTGTGTTATCTCGTCCTAATTATTTCTCCTTTATATCATATTATCTTTTATTTAATATTATCTTATGTTCATTATAAGGCACCGGCGATGTGGGGATTGTAAACAACCCAAACCCAGGAAGTGGAAGTTGCCCTCAAGCTTCGGTTCAAATATTTGATGGTCCTAGTGTAACTCAGAGTCCAAGAAGAACGTTTTGTGGCAATTTGCTTTCAACAGAAACGCTGTCAACCGGCGACACCTTAACCCTGCTGGTTTTGAGTAATGGAGGAAGCGGAACGAATATTAATTTTACAGCTCATTACACATCATTTACGGAAAGTAAGACTTTGCAAACAGAATTCTGCTTTATAGATAGCTGAACAACGAAGCTAGTTCATAATTTGATCGCAACTTTTTTTAACATTTAGGTATTGATGATAATTATTTCACTAATTCTATTATAAAATATACGTTATTTCCATATTTTACAAAGATTGATCCTGCTGCAATAGAAAAACCGTCCCAATGTGACGGTCAAAGTCTGTCAATACCTGGTTATACAGTATATTCAGCGAATTCAGGTTGGTTTGATTTTGTATCTTCAATCAGGCGCAGACTGTGGCGCTGATTTTCCCTGCAACAACGGTCGATGTTTTCTCCAACAATGAAATGTGACACAACTCTGATCAACAATTGTGGTGATTTCTCTGACAATTCGGAAGATCCGCCAGCAAATTGCACTGGTATGATTTGCATATTTTGAAATATTATGATTATGTATGAAAGGGAAATATTTTATTATTACGCCGCTGTTTATGTAACTGATTTATAAGTACATTCAAACTCCAACTTAAAAATGTTGATCCTTCAGTATGAGAGATTAGATTTAGAAGCGACAAGGATTCCTATACGTCACTGAAAATACATTGGTGATGTTTTTTTTTTATATAACTGCTAATGTGAACGTCTAAATATGATACATAGATGGTTTTCTGATAAAAGTGGTTCTTTTGTGCAAGCGACAACTATTCTGTCTGATATTCAGTGAATCTGTTTGTTTAAATGAGACTTAAGTGATTTATTTGATATTGAGTTTCTTATTTCTGTTCTCCAATAAAAGTTAGAAATTATGTTGTGGCTCAATAACGTAAATTTGAACCAAGATAAATAAAATTTTACTACCGAAACAGTAGGAACTTAAACAACACTCCACAGGCACAGTTCGTGCCCAGTATTGGGTATTGAGGGAGTGTGCATTATTTTGGAATACTTCGTTGATTAATATGTAGGTCACTTTCACAGTTGATGCTTTTACATACATCACCAATGGACACAAACAGCCGAGCAAACGACCAGC